ACACTAACAACCGGTGTGAACAGCCTTCAGCCCACAATTCCAAAACTCGTTTTCAAAGAGTTTTCGTTGTCGGTCAGAACATGATATTAGTTGCAGCTGCAGCCGAAACTAAATTTCGGCGACTATGAATAGCTTTAGTTGTGACTTAGAATATTTTCGACTTAGTTGAGTACTAAATATGACTATGAATATGCGCCTATCATACAAAAACCAGTTTTTGCTGAAAACTATTGAAAAACTCACGTTCCACTCATTCCAATCGGTATCAGTACTAGTTTTTTCGATTATTGATCGAAGTGGAAGTCGTATTTTATCAACTTTAATACGCCATTTCAGATTTATTGTAAATTAGCTGGCCAAAGTAAAACAAGAATGAGAGTAAAAGGTTGTTAATGAAAAGAAAATGAAGGATAAGTATTTTGCTTTTGTTTTTGTGTAGCAAAACTGTAATCAAAGGATGTAAGAAATGTCAACGAAAACATATTATATTACAGCCCACAATCCCAACACTCGCTTTCAATAACTTTATTCCACACGCTTTCCGGGCTGCTCCAATAATTAGAGCGTAAAAATAAGTTACTCTCTCACAAGTGTTAAAAATGTGTCAACACGTGCCAAAAGTGCCTAGAGGGTGAGGAACGCAAAAATACATATTTCGTGCCCGGAATCAACAAATCAGCTCTAAACAATGATTTTACGTGAATTTATCTCATATGGCTAATAAAATTACCACACAGCTACATTTTCTGAAAATTTTGTGGTATTTTCCACTTTTGTGTTGTATAAAATATGCTTTCGGATTTAAACAACAGCAGCTGTTATTTCAAATTGCCCTTTTGTACATTTGTGTCCGGAAAAAAGTCCGGGCTGTTTCGTGTACAAAGAAGAAGACATTTACGACCCATTTTTCTAGCGTGAGGAACGCTTTCTGGGCTCATTTGGGCACCCGCGGGCTCTTGTGGAACAAACCTAATGTGTGTAGAGCTGGAAAACTATCGATAGTCACCGATACTATCGACACAAACCATCGATAGTTTTCGATACTATGGGTATTTTTTAAATCGCTTTTTTTAGTTATAACAGCAACATAAAAATTTATTTTACTTCAAACTGCACAGAAAAACAGATTACAAAAATATTCGATATGCATGCATACATACATTCATTCACTAGATTGAGTATACGCTGATTTGTTTAAATATTCGCAATGTTTTTCATGTTATGTTTCTATTGTTATTTTTTTGATTAAAATATGGCTTATATTTTAACAAACACCATATAAATCCAAGTTTCAAAGTTTGTAAATATTCTACAAATACTCATCAAAATCTCAAACTTATTAATAAGAATTTCTACAAATATATTTAGTATGCAGTTTTATAACCCTATCAATTTTAGTACAATAATGTGGAAATTTCAACTATCTTAAAATTCGTGTTTATAATTCTGGGAGTGCTTTGAAGGGAAGAATTTGCGCAGCGCCGTCACAAAAAAAAATATGAAAAGAATCTTAAGACAGTTAAAATTTGCACATTATTGTACTAAAATTGATAGGGTTATAAAACTGTATACTAAAAATATTTCTAGAAATTCTAATAAATAAGTTTGGGATTTTGATGAATATTTGTAGAATATTTACAAACTTTGAAACTTGGATTTAAATGGTATTTGTTAAAATATAAGCCATATTTTAATAAAGATCAACAATAAACATATAACATGAAAAACATTGCGAATATTAAAAAAAATCGGCGTATACTCAATTTAGTGAGTGGCTGTACATACTTATTCCAATTTTGAAATCTAAGTTGAACATAAATTTGTATGTAAAAAAACGAGCATGTCTACTGTTTCTGGCTCTAGACTTGACCTTCGATCGTTGACTTTCAATCCGGCTGTGCTGAAAACTCGCTCAGATTCTACTGAAGATGACGGTATACACAAATACTTTCGAGCAAGTTGAGCCAAGACATCTTTTGGTTTAGCATTTGCCTTAAAATAAATTTAATATTTATGTAAAAAATGCGTTAGTTAAAAAACTATTACCTTCCAGTATAACAATGGATTAGTATCCCCATCAAAATTTTCTAGCTCCAGATATTGTCTCCTAGTTATGATAGCATCAACATTAGTAGTTCGATTTTTTCTTTGCCGTCTTTGGGCCAAGAAATATAGAAGTGTTCGAACTTTCTTCTTTTGAATTTGTGTCATTTTCATTAACTT